CGTACATCTCCACTGCTATCCCAACCTGGAGCTCAATCCATCTCGCAGTAAAAGTCAGGGTAGAGAAGCGTATAGCAAACTTTGAGAAATATTGCTCGATCATTTCGATGATTTGAAGACGACCGCCTGTGTATCGGAAGGTCGGAGGTTCGTGTCCTGACGTAGCCAGACTTTTTTTCCCTTTAAAAATGACTTTGATTTCCAGATCGACCCAGCCTTGAGTGGGTACCAGGTGCAGTCCTGGGAAGTTAAAGCGGCCGGTGTGATGCTGACCAGATCACCCACCAAGTGCGATAGGTTTATAAAAAATATGTAAAGCCATATAGTCTCAGTATTGTTTAGGGCGTGGAAAAAGGTCTTTTTATTATTTCGATGATCTGTGTCGGTATGTGGAACATGCGAAGGGCTTGCTACAATCGCTTATGGGGTAGCATCGGTGAGGATCCTTAAGTACTTTTTGTAGATTTTTAACTCGAAATTGTGTCCGGGCTACTCTTTTAGATCTCCAATCGCCAAATGAATTTTTACGTACACAGGCATGGCCCTTTTGCACGCCTCCCTTTTCCGATCCAACGGGAGCATCTAGCCGCTACACCACGGCAGCGCGTAAGAGGAAGAAGGAAAGCTTCGTTATGACTCATACCCTCCAGATCAGTTATTTCAGGGGCTCTAACTCCTAGAAACTTATTGCCGCACAGAAATGATAACATTACGATTGTTGTAAATGGACAGTCTGAAAAAATATGTAAGTTAGACACAGTATAACCAGATTAAACACAGATTGAGTTATATAATTAAAATACCAAGCCCTGGCAGTCGTTATAATTAGCTGCTACAAGTATATAAATTATAATTACTTTTTAAACCTTCTTTGAATGTAATCTCTGTCCTGTGTTACACTGTTACGTGTACACTACAAATTAAAATAAATACAATTATTAGTGTTGCCGTTTGTTTCTCACTGTATTGTTGGCTATTGCAGTTTGAACGAATTTAAGGTCGTCCCTATGTGGGACGCAATATTTCGTTATTTGGAAGCCCCACCCCAGCTTTTGCCAGGGGCCGTTATAGACTGAATGCTTAACGCGGTTTCTGGGACCTCTCCACGGGTGATTCTCATCTGCTTGGTGGCACTTTGTGTCACCGGGTGTTTATCTCACTGTGTGATGCCCTGGTGGGGTAAAATTTACTTACTTACGTCTGTATTGTAGTTACGTCTGTAGCAGTAAATGATGTGTTGCTGTTGCCTTGTGTACGTGTATCTTGTTGCGTTAAGTTTAGTATGAAACAATATTATCGTTGTTGAAATGTTAACATACAAAAATCAGCAAATTGTCCATTGGAAATTATAACATGCAAATTAATCATGAAGAAATCAGAAAAAAAGGGAGGAAAGAGTACTGTAAGAGGGGAGGGTTTCTCCTAAAGCAAAAATATAGCCTCAATATTTTGTTAAATTATTTTTATAAAGTAACACAAATAATCATTGACAGTGAAACAAACTAAAAGATGATAATATACAAAAATGAGACAGGGACCTGTGAAAGAAAGGCTGTGGAAATGGCCTGTGTATAGGGTTAACAAAGGAAGAGGAGATCTTATGTTTATTTTATTCTGCTCAGAATTGAGAAAACTGCAAAGTAGTCCGATTCATTTAAACAGCAATATCCTGTTTAACTTATCCAGGTTATAATTTGGAGTAATTTTTTATTTCAATAATTGATATTTATGTCTACCAATTATATTTGGTTCTGCAATATCATTGCTTGTATATTTTATACTATTGTAGAAGTATAGTCACCTTCAGTATATTTTAAATGTACTTTCAAACAATTGTAGTAATTATACTGTATATTCTATCTTTGCGGATTTTTGAAGTGATCTGGGATACCATTATTCTGTCTTAAGATACTGTCTCAGTGTGAATCCCTGTCCTTGTCATGCACTGTTTAATCCTTTCCTGTTGTTCTCTAGAACTGTCTACTCCCAGCACATTTTCTAGTTGGAGCCTTAAACAATTTGTAGGCATGCCTTCCCTTTAAGTTCCCATTCCCATTGTCCATTCTTCTGTTTTTATTATTGTTTTATTTTTTAATTATTTATTTACTATCATCCTGACTCATGGCTACATATATTTTATTATTATTTGTTTGGCGTTTTTGCTTCTCTATCTGCCCTTTCATTTCCTTTTAATTTCCACACGCGCTGGTACCCACATACACTGGTACCCACATGCGCTGGTACCTACACGTGCTGGTACTCTTATGCGCTGGTACACACATAATTAGTACAGAGCATCCTTTTGTTTTTAGAAAAGATGTGGCCAAGAAAATCTCCTCTGTGATGTCATTTATACTACACATCCTACAGCCAATTAGTCTTATCTGTGATCTGCCATTGACTATATACACACACAAGCCATCTTATTTCATTATAACTGTCATGTGTCTCATCCAGATATTGGCTCTCAAAATCACTGGGTGTTAGTCTTTAAGAATGTAATCATATACTGTTAAAAAAACAAAAACAAAAAACAATTTCAAGTTGTTTCTGTTATGATAGTCAATCAGATCGTTAGTGCCATGGCTCAGTAGTGTTCTTTTTATGTATTATCTTTAGATTAACTTTTGTTATTAATAAAATATTCACTGTGTGGTGCCCGGTGTCATAAAGAGTAGGACCACTGTATCCACTCAGCTTAAGATTAATTGAAGTTTGATTGAAGCTTACATTAACCCTTTGGAGAAGTCGTGGCCGAAATTTTGGGCCAACACAAAATAGGGAAAAAGAAGAATGAGCCGATTGGTTGGCCCTATATAATACAAGCATTAAAATTGGCTGGCAGTTTTCCTACTAGTCAGTCAGTTTACTTCTCACATTTCTTACATTTGTGGGCTATTCAGTGATGGCTTTTGAGAAAGTTCGGTGTGTTCTGTAATTTTACATTTTACATAGATTGTTTTGTGGGTTTACCTGTGCCCAGCATTGGCGAAAGGGACTATTGCATCATAGTAACCAAAACATAGCACGAGGTAGGAAAAGGAGTAAACTCATGTGCCAAAAGTGTCTGAAATCCCTCGGTGGGCCTTATTTCCCAAAACACAGGTGTTAGGACTTATTCAGGCTTTATCTAAAAAAAAAAAATTCGCCCAAATTTTTCAGGTTAACATGCGTTAGGACAGTTCTCCTCTATGGAGCAGAAACTTGGAAATCAGACCTAAAGATAGAGTATGTGCTCAGAAGATTGTTGGGGTTAACATCATCATCATCAGGTGCCTTGCTGACTGGCGTGTGCGATCATGCCTCTCCCTAATCTGCGATCTCCTGCAGCATGTATCAGTTCGTGTGCCGACATGCAACAAGATTGTCAAGCATCTTCTCTCGTTTTCTTCCTCTATCTCTCCTTCCACATATCTTTCCAGTAGTCACAACATGTTCTATTTTTCCTCTTCTCATAACATGGCCGAAAAATGATGACTGTCTCCTTCTGATGTCTGTGATAAGTTGTCTTCGGGCTCCCGCCTCTTTCAAAACCTCTTGGTTGCTCTTTTTGGCTGTCCAAGGTATTCTAAGCATTCTTCTGTAAAACCACATCTCCGAGGCCTCCAGAAGTTGTTTGGCCTGCCTACCGATTGTCCAGGATTCACAGCCATGTGTTAAAACTGGATGTATGTAGCAAGCAAGAATTCTTTTTCTAACTCCTAATGACAAGGATATATTGCACAAGATGTTTTTCATTTTATAAAATGCAGTTTTTGCCTGTCCTATTCTATTTCTTATCTCAGTTATGCATCTTCCTCTGATGTTATCCATGTGCCCAGATACTTAAATTTCTGTACTTGTCCTAAAATAACACCATCAACTTTTATTACACACTTAGGAATAATTCGTTTTTTTGATACCACCATTACTTCTGCCTTCCCATTATTCAAACTGAGGCCCATTCTTCCACTTTCTAACACCACAATGTCTATCATTTCCTGTAGTTCTTTCTGACTTGTTGCTATCAAGACTGTGTCATCAGCATAATGTAAATTGTTTATATTGTGCCCACCAACCACAATTCTGGGCATACCAAACAAATCCACATTGTTCATCATTTCTGGTTTAATTTTGTTTCTTATTCTTCTCATAATTATTCTCAGTAACATCTTAGTCATGTGACTCATAAGACTTATTGTGCGATGGTCTTCACATTTTATAGTGCCTGGTTTCTTAGGCAGAGCTATAAATATGGATTTTAAAAGGTCATTTGGAATATACCCACTATTATAAATATCATTTAAAAGTTTAGTTATTATTTCAATTCCAAAATCTCCCAGTGCTTCGATTTCTTCCAGTGAGATGTTGTCTGACCCGGGTGCTTTTCCTTTCTTCATATGATGTATTGCATCCTCAACTTCTGCAGTCATTATTGGTGGACCATCATTGTTGGTCTGCATTTCTACATCTGGTCTATTATCATCACACAATTCCCCTATATACTCTGTCCATCTCTTAATTATATCTAGATTACAACAAATGACAGACTTATAAGATGTAATTTTGGAAATTAAAATAAAACAAAGATGTAGGTGGATTGGACACATCCTCAGAATGAAGAAAGAGAGATGGCTGAGACAGGCAATGCAGCGGACACCACAAGGACAGCGAGTAAGAGGCAGGCCCCGAGGCACTTGGAGGTGAACTTTGAGCCTGATCTCAAGGCTACGTGAGGGACAAAACTAGAGATAGAGAGGATGGCTCAGGATCAGTTTGTCTCTGCCTTATGTGCCTCTGAGCACGATGAGGATTAATTGATTGATAACAAAATATGCAGACTATAATAGTGGCCTTTTTCTTTTTATCAGGAAAGCATTTTTAGTTGTTATAAACAACCATGTTAATCATTGAATTTGATGTGAAAAAAGCAACAGTTGGAACAGGCAACAGTGTTTTAATCCTCAGACTGCACACCAGACAAACAGGCAACCAGACGAGGCTGAAGCAAAGGCTGAACAATGTCACTGACTCCAGCCACCAACACTACAAGGCCAGAAGATGAGACAGAGTAAGTTGTCGAAGCAAAGGGATGCACTTACATACTGATCCGGATATTTAATGGGATATTACATCTAACCAAATATTTCTTTAAATCTGCATGTCTCATTAGGTTCCCTTTTTACCCCAACCAAATCTTTTTCATGTGCTCTCTTATTTATTAAATACTTAACATCCTGCTTAACTGATTGCTTATCACCTCAAGATGACATACCGGTTAGTCAAACAAGTCTAGAACTGCAGGGGTTAGAAATTATGTTTAAACAAAGAATACACAAACAACATACTATACAATTTTTGCCTGGCATTTTTACTGTATCTTGTTTGGTGCATAGTAAAAGTAAAGGACCCTTTTCCATGCCTTCAGGCATATTGAACCTATATGGCTGGACCTATATTTTATAGACCAATCAACAATTGGTGGGTGATGTTGTCAGCACCATGCCGTCCACTTTTGTTATGATATGTTATGTTAGTTTCAGCTTTATAGCAAACGGGTCACCCCATAGTTGCCCCGCTCCTGTACCAATGAAAAACACACAGAATGTTCATCACAGTCCCTTGTGGAGACATTGACAGACTGCTGTTCCAGCAAATGCACTAGCATACACACACATTAAAAGCATACGATAGCCATTAGAAGTGCTTACACAAACAGTTCAACATTAGAAATGCATTTCATCATTGATGGTAGCAGAGGTAACCAACAAATCAGCAGTTTATCAATTTTAATCCCCTAAGGGCACCACCAATATTGTGACGACAGGCCACACGCCATTTTCTAAATATAAATTTTGCAACACAACACCACGTTGGTCACAGTCGAAAAACATTCTAAATGAAATCTGCAGATCACAGGGTCGCACCATGCACTCAGCTCAGTAGCTGGGCGACTAAACTATATCCTTTCGGTCTACAAATGGAGCAAAAATACAACGGCACCATCTGGCAGAAGCAAAAATGTTGCCACGACTCGAAAACAGTGGCCGTGCCTAGCGTCCATTTTGACCGGCCTGGCTTTTGTCACCCATCCATCTTTACTTCCAAGGACTGCACCTGGTACCAAGTAACACTACAGTAACATCATTAATTAAGATGAAGCAAATAAATGATTCCTTTCGACTGGAATACACAATCCACCTCACTCAACCGTAACTGTCTGTTTCCTCAGGGTAAACACAATTTAGCATGTTGTTAACAGAAAAGAAAATTAGCGAGAGTATTATAGACCTGTAATATATATTCTCAACATTGTTTTAGGCAACCTGTTCACAATGAGATCCATGTGATATCTCAATCAGTGTCTCTGATTTAGAATAGCAAAGATCATATTTCACAGTATTGACTAGTTTCCTTATGACAGTCATTGTATACTTTGACTCCTGTGATGTCCTGTGGTGGCATCATATGCACTAAGTTGTTGACTCTTTGGCCTTGACAACTAGCTCGCCAAACATTTACGAAACAAGCATATCGTTTTTCAGTACTTTATTTCCTTAGTTTTCTCCTTCTTCTTTGTTCACCGGCTGTAATCTCTGGTGGAAAGTCCTGGTTATTCATCCATTTGGACTTAAGCTTTGTGCCAGGGCCAGAGTTCTGTGTGTACATCCATTTTACTGCTTATTTGTATGCAGTGGTTGTTCCTTGCTGCCCGTGTAGATGCACTCCGACTTTGACGGAAGCACTCAATTAGTCTACTCCTACGACATGCTTGTAGGGGAGGCAGTGGGTGTATCCTTCTTTTCCCCACATTGGGGCCCCAGAAAGCACACAGGGACTTTAGGTTTCAGAGAAATGTTTTTACAGAAGAACTCTTACAAATTCTTTGGCTGCCAACATGAGTTATCCAGATGTTTTGAAAGAGGTGAGAGACCGAAGACAACTTCTCACAAACATCAGAAAGGAGAATGCCATATTTGATCATTTAGCAAAAGAGGAAAACTGGAGCATGCCATGGCCACTTGGAAACATTTGTGGATAGAGAGATAGAGGAAAACAATGTGCAGAGATTCTTTACAGTATTTTTTCCACATCATGGAGGGATGTCAGCACATGAGCTGATGAGTATGTTTTGAGAACATATGTTGTGGTGAGTGAGCCATAGTCACCAACGCCAGTCAGCAAGATAGATTTTCTCATATATTCTTTCTCTCTCTCTTCTCCCCCATCCCCCTCTCTCTGTCTGCAGAAAAACTGCCAATTACTGCGTTTATTATACCTCTTTTGTTATGCGGGGGGTATTTTAGCCTGAAGATTTAGGGCAACGTGACTAGTGCTGTCGCTACGGACTGTGCAGGTCAGGATTTCATTTTTGGCCTCCCCCCTCCCCGACCTATCTGTCTGTCTGTAATGTCTGTAACATGTATAATTTCATTAATTTATTGTTTGTTTACAGTATGCAGAGTGGCAGTGATTACAGTCACAGTCAAAATTTGGCTTATTTGATCAATGAAGTGTATCGCTCCCGCATTATTCAGGTCGTGGACTTTGGTGTACTGATCTCATACATGCCCTTTATGAATGAGATCTTGCCTCAGGTATACAACCTGAGGAAGACTAATCCAAAGGAAGCCGCCAACATTTTCTTTGAGCATCTCAAAAATGTTGAGGAAGAGGGAAAATATCAGGTATTCATCAATGGATATTGGAGGTCACCTGTTCATCAGTTTTGTTTGTGTGTTGATTGTTTGTGATTGAATTTGTTGTCTGCTAAGTATTTGAACTAAATGCTGTTTTCTGAACAATTTAAATATTTTAGTTAAAATAAAATCAAGGATCCTTTTCACGCATTAGAATACTGGACATATGGTGCTGGACTAGCTGACCATAGTCCTATTTTTACCAGGACAGTCCCTTTATTTCAGTGTGTCCCAGCTAACCCCTGGGTACTAAAAAAAACCCACAAATTGATCCATTTTATAAATATCTAGGAATAAGCTTAGCAATACAACATAGACTTGCCCTCTGGTGTGTCTCCACCTTAGCAATACAACATAGACTTGCCCTCTGGTGTGTCTCCACCTTAGCAATACAACATAGACTTGCCCTCTGGTGTGTCTCCACCTTAGCAATACAACATAGACTTGCCCCTCTGGTGTGTCTCCACCTTGAAGAGGTAGAGGGGTTTGAGTGTTCATTGACACTAAGAGCTATACCGATGGTAGCTGAAGGTGTTCCACGTCGGACAGGTCTAAGGTGAGCAACCAGATGAAGAGAGACACACCCACATTTCATGATGTCACAAATTAAATGTATCCATATGGTGCTAAAATCGTGGAACTCCGCCAGGTAGAGACAGTGCTGGGCCCCTTGCCCCAACACTATTGGTGAGCACCTGCTCCTACTCTGTGAAGTCAAGGCACAGGGCATTTAACATACTACAGTGGAATGTTGAAGGAGTATTAATTTAAAAAAAAAATTTCTCCAGCAAAATGCCTTTATGAAGACAAAATTGATGCAGCATGTATCCAAAAGACACATCTCGAAGCCCATCACAGATTTTCAGTCAGCGGATATCAAGCTATACGCTGTGACCAAGAAGGGCACAAGAGAGGATTTACACTTATTAAAAACTCAGATACCAAGCAGTGACGTTCCTGTGAATTATTGTAGTAGTAGTAGATTTTACCCCACCAGGACATCACACAAGCGATAAACACCTGATGACAAAAAATTCCACCATGTGGATGAGGATCACCCATGAAGAGGTCCTGAAAACCACATTCAGCCATTAGACCATATTTATGGCCGGGCTATATTGCGGCCCCTGGCTAGAGCCAGGGTGGGGATTACAAACAACGAAAATTGCATCCCACAAGGGGATGACATACAGGTATAATACCTGTGAAGTCAGATAACAAATCAGAAATTAAAGGCATTGCTATCATGATAAAGGAGCAGAAAAATCAAAATATGCAGTTTATATATCCCAACAAGTAAAGATCCTGCACTATCAAGAATGGAGATAAATGACACACACTGTATTATAGTTAAAAACTTTACTAAAATCCCAGAAAGATAGGGAATCCCAGATACTGATACCAGAGAAGATGAAGTGGAGAACTGGAAAATAGACTAATCTCCATTTAATCAAAAAACCAGAAGACAAGTCCAGCTTCTACTCTAGAAGAAGGTGTGATACTTCCACTCCTGACTTAGCCTTTTGCACAGGAGACATTCTTCACAAAACTGATTGCATTGTACTAGATCAGTTAGGAGGCAGCGACAACAGACAAGTCAAACTTTTTGTAAAAATATATTCCACAGGAGCTAAAACCGTTGCCTCATTGGAATTACAAACGAGCTGATTACGATAAATTTGTTTTGCTCACAGACAAGTACTGTAAAAACATAAACACACGATATGGCAACATGAAGATAAATGCAGGACAGCCTAGCATATACCACAACATCTAACATAAGAATGGAGGTAGAGGCGGGTCACTGCAACTCTCCGGTGGCTAAAGAACAAGATGCATACACATGTCGTAATTGTAACAGACTCTGAGAGCATGTTGAGAAAGCTGAAGACAGGGCTGCTTCGAGCAGAGTGGCAAGCTTCACTTGGAAGGTCACGGGTGTATGCTAGACTAGTAAGGCCAGTCCTTGAATATGGTATTGCAGCATAGGCGACAGCAGCTAAGTCAAAGTTTCTCCCAATAAATAGAGTCTGGAATCAAGAAATGCGGATTATAACTGGGACCATGAAAACAACGCCTATTAATAAACTAGAAAATATCATGGGACTGCAACCAATTGAGGGTAGAAGAGACAGCAGAAACCAGCAAAAAGCAAAACAATTTAGAAGGCTGACAGATCACCCAGTGAATCAAAGGTTCAATGTTCAGGAAGGGAAAGGCTAAAGCAAAAAAAAAAAACTAAGATCAGGGAAGATCCTGTACTTAACTTATCAACATCCAGACCCGTCCAAATTACACATAGGCTCCCTACTTAGAGACAGTAGCACCTGCTTAGGTGGATATAATATATTCCTGATATTGAGAAAAAGAGCACTCAGAATGAAACAGAAAGAAGGAAAATCACATTAGACTACATAGAAGAACGATACCCAAGTAACACCTGGACGCATGCATGCACAGATGGATCAGCAAAAAACTCAACAGAAAATGGAGGTGGAAGAAATTGTCCTGAAACCTGAAAAATAGATCAAAGAAAACACAACTGGAAAATTCTCAAGTAATTTTAGAGCAGAGGCAGAGGTCCTGAGAACTGCAGCAGAAATGCTTCTGTCAGAACAAGATGACTACACAATAATGAGACTACAATGTCCCACGAAACTGACCTGGAAGGCTCACCAGGTTAACAAATGCCCGCTGAAGTCAGATGTGTTGGCCAAAAGGCGCAAATATCGCGGCCATGCTGTAAATAGGCACAACACAGTTACATCTTCGGATGAACGCAGAAGATGAAGAAGAACGTACACTTATAGTTATACTGTAGACCTTATTAGTTTTCATAGTCTTAGATAGTTTTAATGCCTGAAATGTATTGAGAATTTTCATCGTATCATGCTTTTTAATTGCAGTTAAAGAGCAGATTATTTCATTTATTTCTTGCTGCAATGGTTCAGGTATTAATACCATTGTCCAGCAAGTAATTAACTCGTTAACAGTGACATAGAAAAAAAAGAAGGGGGGAGGTTTGTCTTGTATAAAAAAAATTCTTTGATAGGCCTGTCACTGACCTTGTTTATGATAAAGTAACCAATCATGTTTTGTCATCTCTTAGTTTCCATAAACTGTTTGTTGTTGTATGATTCAAAACATCTATTGTCAGAACCTGCTATAACTTATGTTTGCTTGTCAGTGTTATTTTGATTAGATTTTAAGTTGCATTATGCAAATGCTTTTTATTTATTTTAATTATCATCATCATGCATTGACTGGTACATAGATTGTTTGGAAGTATGTAGTTCTATAATTGCTTTCATTGAAAGACATAATCTGGCAGATGGTTTCCCTAAAAGGTAATCAGCAACAGTGTCCCAATCATTGACTGTGATACAGAATTGATGTCACCTCTTGGGACAAAAACATTAGCACTCAGTCTCTGTTGCAAACTGGCTAGCATAATGCATGTGGCTCCAGGTTATTGCATTGTCATTTATGAAATGAGTTTAAGAAATTCCACTGTCTCGTCTGCAGTGGCTGATAGACATCTAGGCCTGTCATACAAGGCTGCCGTCAGACATTTTATGTTGTCAACCATAACAGAATCACTATTTGTATATATGTATATGAAATCTTTATTTTTTTATTGATGTCGTTTGTGGCTAAGAGTTTGTGAATGCAGTTTGGTGATCCAAACAGACCAGGAATTTAAAGTCAGCTGCAGAATTTTGGTAGCAGACCTCATTGCCTTGATTTCAAAAGTATGAGCATCATGTAGGTCTGAAAACCTTGGTAAACTACTGAACATAAAATTGTATTTAGAAGACTTATAAAGGATATGAACAAACAACTGGAAAATCGTATCAATTCTTTGGAGATGTGGATATACAGAAGATTAGGTCGTACCGAATAGCAGTATGAGTGAGTGTACATCAAGGGCAAGAGACAGGGCTTGTTGGAGATCCATTGCAGCCAACCTTTATTGTGGAGACGGCACCTGATTGATTGATTGATAAAGGATATGCTACTAACTACGTTATCAATTTCTACATTCATGTTGTTTTGTCAATGGAATGAATGGTTACTGGATAGAGAGCAATTGGCTAATTACCATGGGGGTAGATACAAGACATGAGAGCCACTGTGGGACATAAGCTAGCCTGTCTGACCAGTAGCAGTGGGACCTGGTGTATAAAGATATACAAGAATAATACTGAACTTCATGTGCCTATTACCAAAAAGCAAAGTTAATCTTAATCAGACTTGTTTAGATAATTATTCAAACCCATAACATGTACTTTCTCACCAGGAACACGTCCTTATAAATATATATATTCTGGTCACCTGCGACCCTACGTGTTTGTAACATTTCAGAGTTTTGTGGATGCTCTGAGGCGAGCCAGATACCCACTCCTGGTGGCAGCTCTGGAGAGTAATGAGATCATCAGTAATGATCATGAACATAATCAGGTTTGTACTAAACTACTGTAACATTGTCATTTCCCTGTACACAAGCAGTACATTGTCATTTCCTTGTACACAAACAGTACACTGTCATTTCCTTGTACACAAGCTGTACATTGTAATTTCCTTGTACACAAGCTGTACATTGTCATTTCCGTGTACACAAGCTCCACATTGTCATTTCCTTGTACACAAATGGTACACTGTCATTTCCTTGTACACAAACTGTACATTGTCATTTCCTTGTACACAAGCAGTACATTGTCATTTCCTTGTACACAAGCTGTACATTGTCATTTCCTTGTACACAAGCGGTAAATTGTCATTTCATTGTACACACGCTGTACATTGTCATTTCCTTGTACACAAGCGGTACATTGTCATTTCCCTGTACACAAATGGTACACTGTCATTTCCTTGTACACAAGCTGTACATTGTCATTTCCTTGTAAAACAGCTGTACATTGTCATTTGCCTGTACACAAACGGTACACTGTCATTGCCTTATACACAAGCGGTACATTGTCATTTCCTTGTACACAAGTTGTACATTGTCATTTCCTTGTACGCAAGTGGTACATTGTCATTTCCTTGTACACAAGTTGTACATTGTCATTTCCTTGTACACAAGTTGTACATTGTCATTTCCTTGTACACAAGCTGTACATTGTCATTTCCTTGTACACAAGCTGTACATTGTCATTTCCTTGTACACAAGCGGTACATTGTCATTTCCTTGTACACAAGCTGTACATTGTCATTTCCTTGTACACAAGCGGTACATTGTCATTTCCTTGTACAGAAACAGTATCCTCCAGCTGGTTCCAGGGCTCTAGTTTGTGCTGAAGTAGCTACAGAATAAATCTCATTTCTGTGTACACAAATGGCACACTGTCATTTCTTGTACACAAATGGCACACTGTCATTTCTTGTACACAAATGGCACACTGTCATTTCTTGTACACAAATGGTATCCTCCAGCAGGTTCCGGTGCTCCAGTTTGCGCTAAAGTAGCTACAGTAACACTGTCATTTCTCTTACACAAACAGGACACCGTCACTGCCTTGTACACAGACGGTATCTTCCAGTGGGTTCGAGGGCTCCAATTTGCGCTGAAGTAGCTACAGTAACACTGTCATTTCTCGTACACAAACAGCACACCGTCACTGCCTTGTACACAGACGGTATCCTCCAGCAGGTTCCAGGGCTCCAGTTTGCTCTGAAGTAGCTACAGTAACACTGTCATTTCTCGTACACAAACAGCACACCGTCATCGCCTTGTACACAGACGGTATCCTCCAGTGGGTTCCAGGGCTGCAGTTTGCAAAGGGTAAGAAAGAACAGACCTAGTGACTCCTAATAAGTGTGTTGTAAAGAATTTTGAATTAAGAATCAACATCCCAGCACTCAGGACACTCCCATAAGTGCTCTGTCCCCATCTTTTGCAGCAAAAGAAGAGTTGCAATTCCGATGGCACCAGTAACTGTCTGATTTTAAATGTGTCTCGCCCTTCCTCTGAGTGTTGAGCGTCTGTCAGATCCCATGGTAACTCCTTGCAGCACCATTCTCCTCAGACCGTAATGATCTATCTGTGCCTCCGCACTGTTCACTCACTCCCAAAGGGCCCTCACAATATCTAGCGTGCACTGTCCTCCTTTCAAACAGCGCAAAGGGAATAGAAAATTTAATATTGTCTGCCTTAAAGCACAGTGAAGATCAAAATCTGTTCTTTGAGTTTAAAGAAAATGAAAATAATGTCCACAGATAAAACTGGCTGCGGCCCAAAAACAAAAAAACAATAAACGATGAAGAAATTGAAAATGTCACAAACTTTGAATATCTAGGCTCTATAATAAATAACAATGGAGACTGTTTGACAGAAATTAAAAGCAGGATGGCCATAGCAGTGCAAAGATTAAACAGCCTTAAAAGTCTATGGTTAAGCACCAGCAAGGAGATTGAAATAAGAATTTTGAGAGCATGCATCTTTCCTGTAGCTACAAATGAATGTGAGTTGTGGACTATCTCCCAGTCCTTAAGAAAGAGAATATGGGCTTCTGAGCTGAAATGCTATAGAAAGATTCTCAGAATATCTTGGACAAAGAAGAGGAGAAATACTGACATCTGGAAAGATCTAAAGATCAAGGAAGATTGGCTAATAAACAGCATCCTGTCTCAGAAATATTTCGGTCATATCAAGCGCCACGACGGCTTGTATAACATTATAGCTGAAGGCATGATACCAGGAAGGAGAGCAAGGGGCCGACCGACACGAAGATGGGCACAGGAAATAAGTGACTCCTTGAGTAGGAAAGTACATGAGGGGGGAGAGCTGGCAAGAGACCGAGTTTCTTTCAGGTAGGCCGTGATGAGAGCAAATTTCTGCAAAGGACCTGCTACATGATAATGATGATATTACTGTCGGAAAGAAAAATTATGTTCCCTTTGTCTATAGCTATGTAATGATGATGTTGTAAAACAAGACTACACAGTTTTTGTTGTTAAAATTAATTCTCCATTTAGTATCGTGCAAAAATAAAATATGTTGAGAAATAATAAATAGTTGTGGAGTTGTCGGACTGTCCAAGGGACAGGACGTGTTTTTCTCGCTCTCATCATTTTAGATTTTTTAAGCCCTGTTGCATTGGATATCTGAGGATAATTTTTATATCACTGTGACCGTTGTTCCGTCGGGCTTACTGTGAAATAGTTTTTGTGTGACTTTGTAGATCAATATTCGTTAAAAATGGAATATAGTGTATTATAATAGGTTTTCTGCAACGGAAGCCTCTGTTGCCAACGGGGCACAAACAGGCCCGATTGTGTTTCACCTGGCCCCATGGATTTATGGCATTTTAGACAGTAATTGTCCTGTGGGCGTACACACGGTGGCATACAACCGGACTGGTGAAGCGCTGCCACGCCAACACAGGATGCCGTTAAAAATTTAATTAGGTATTTTCCCCGGGTAGGTGGGACTCGATAGCTGGGGACAGCGGCCCACCTATGAGAAGGATACTCTGAAACTAAACTACCACTGCCCGGTGGTCAGGCCTTGGTTGGTTACGGGCTAAGGAAGCACATCCTAAAAGAAAAGCACGTTGAAGATGGAGACGCCAGGTCGAAAGGCACAGATAGTGTGGGAGAATATTTTCCCACAAACATGATGTCACGCATACCTTCTTGAATGTCAGAAAACCCTAGCAGGAATGAAGACTGTGGTGTTAAATCTTTAACACTTCAGTGAAACCATATCACGGTGAGCCCTACCTTAAAAGTGGCAACTGTACAACATCACCACTCGCAAAGCTAGAAAAACAGCCTAGATTATAAATCTATCAGAGGGACAAGATGGACGAAGAAGACGTGTGCGCTCTGAGGATTCTACAATGGAATGCAGAGGGAGTCCGCAACAAAAAAGCTGCACTCACAAAACAACTTACGGAAGGAAATATTGATATTGCCTGTATACAGGAGACACACCTGTCAGAAAAGCACAGATTCTGTATTAGAAGCTTCCAGTGCTTCAGACAGGACAGAGAAAATGGTCCCAAGGGAGGAGTCCTCATCCTTGTAAAAAACAGCATCCCAGCAGCTAGTCTTACAGTGGACACAAAACAGGAGTCTGAGATCATGGGTGTCAGGCTTAACATTGCAGGCAAGGAAATTGTATTATACAATTGTTACTGCCCGCCAAGCAAAGAACTCTCGTTATACAACATGAGAATCCCAGATGACAACTGTATCGTTCTAGGAGATTTTAACAGCTGCTCTCCAAGCTGGGGATATTCACAGCTCAACGAGAGAGGAGAAGAAGTGGAGGACTGGCAGACATATGCCAGACTCCAGCTAATCAACAAACCAGATGACTCCCCATCTTTTTTCTCCAGGAGATGGCTTTCAACCAGCCGCCCAGACTTAACATTTGCCACGTTAGACTTAGCAAGCAACATACATAAAATGGTGCTCAGCCAACTAGCAGGTAGTGACCACCGACCGATCCTGATTTCTGTTCTAAATATGAGAGGCCTTCATTCGATGCCGCCCCCTCGTTGGAATTACAAGAAAGCTGACTGGAACAGTTTTGCTAACCTTGCTGATGTATACTCGATAAATGTAAACGGCAAATCAAGTCAGGTTGCTAAATCAGTAAAAGAGTTTACAGAAGCTATATTAAAAGCAGCCAAAGAACCATACCTCGGGGTTCAAGGAAAGATTACATCCCATTTTGGTCCCAACAAATTCAAGACCTCCAAAGCAACCCAACGGTAGAAAACAACATTGCTTACAAAGCAGCAGAAGCTAAGCTAAAAAAAAAAAGAAACACTTCAAGCAACTAGGAAGAGCTGGCAAGACAAAACCAAGAGCCTAAGTTTGGAAAAAGATGGGTCCAAACTCTGGAAACTAGTCAAGTGTCTAAATGGAGAAGCCCAACAAGCCAATCCAATAGTAATAAATGAGGGCAATGAGATCAGATCTGGAAACGATGCTGCAAATATCCTTTTAAATCAGTTTAAATCTGTTAGTGATATTAATATAGAAAAGTCCAGAGAAGATGAGGTAGTACAAAGAATAAAAGAACTCGAGGAGGCCAGCAAGAGTAAACCAGCAGAGAGCATCATGACAGATAAATTCTCAATGAGTGAACTTAACACAGGACTCAACCAGCTGAAATCCAACCAAGCCCCTGGCCCCGATAAAATCACGAATGATATGTTACTACACATGGGTCTAAGTGCCAAAAAGAAATTATTAAACATCTTTAATGCCAGCTGGATTTTTAGTATAGTTCCTCCAGCCTGGAGGAAGTCTGAAATCTTCGTAATCCTGAAACAAGGAAAGCCGAAGAACAACGCAGTCAGCTACAGACCCATCAGCCTCACTAGCTGTCTGTGCAAACTATTTGAAAGATTATTGAACAACCGACTGACCTGGTTCCTAGAGAAAAACGTTTAAACTAATGGAGGAACAGGCAGGTTTTCGACGTTGTAGATCAACAGAAGACC